AGAAACTAACTACGTTTTCTAATACAACTACATGACTTGTATATTCTGTATAAAAAATGGAAATGAAATGCATAAAGAGGACCTATTGAATCATGTTCATTACTGTTTCAAACCTTTTTCTTTGACCTTCTTTCTCTTTTCAGCAATGAAGATGATTAACAAAAGAACAAGGGCTTCAACAACGATACCAATAAAAGGCCACAAAGGGCCCAATGGATCTGTTAAAACAAAACAAAAAAGCAAACAATAAAACAACATGATAACATTGACGGGTCAAACCATTTGTTGAACAAAACCTACAGGAGGCTGAGTGACTCTTTAGGATTGTGATACCTCTAGTATAACTTGCAATCACATATTATGTTGTTGTAAGAAATGCCATCATTCAATTATATTTTGAATCAAATGAAAGCAACTGGGATTTCAAGAATCGTAATGCTCATGTTAAAATAACCAAAAAAGTATTAAATAAATATAGATACTGATAATTATAGTGATATTGATAATGCTCAAGATGATGACAATGATAATAATGGTAAATAATAAATAATGGTAACATGACCAAGTAGATTCCAATTGGGTCTGTAATCGTACCAGTGATTAACAAAATCAGACAAACATGCAGAGCAGGAGTCTGATTTGTCAATCACAGCTGAAAAGTAAAGCTGTAAGTACAAACATGGTTGTTTCTATGGTTACTGCAATCAAATCTGTCATTGGTGGATATCTAAGCTGAGTGGACTTAGTATGATTAGCTGCTTTAGCTGTCTGATTACAGCCAACTGTCTGATTACACTGTCGGATTACAAACCCTATAAAGGAATAATGAATGAAAAATAAAGCAACAAAAAGCACTGATCCCATTTGAGGGAATTGCAATGGCTATGATCACACTAATAATAATGATAAAAACAACATTACCTGATTGCTACTACATGTAAATGCAGCTGACAGTGATAATTCTGAGGAAAACATAATTGTACATCTAAACCACGACATAATCCTCTGATCCCTAACAGTGACTTAAAGTGCACCTGACCCCTAAAGTTTTTTTCACTTAAAAAAATCTTCCTGCTTTGGTGAGTATTTCCTCGAAAAAATTGTTGGATTTGGTTAAATCCTTATTTTTTTATACCCTGTTGAAGTCGAGATATGAATGGACCACGACCGCGTAAATGGGCATCTGGGCAGAGTAGACTTGTGACGTCACTTCGAGAAGACGCTCAAGAAATTCTCAGCCAGTCGTCGACCTGCGAAAGCCTTTCTAGCACTAGATTCATTCTGCGGCATATTTGCGACCAATATCGATCTAACCTTCCAAACATAACCTGTGAACTGTGCAAAATGGCGCGAAATACAGATTGTTGGGTTCTCGAAGTGACGTCACATTAGTCGCAAGACTCTTGATTCTTGAAACGCGGTCGTGAGTCAAAATGGCAGTCATTTTAATGCGATTTTCCGTACTTCAACGGGGCACAAAAATTTAAGGATTTGACCAAATCCAAAAATGTTTTTGGATGGGATACTCACCAAAGCATGAAGATTTTTTTACACGAAAAAGAAATTTAGGAGTTAGGTGCACTTTAAGCATCTACACATAGAACGTAATTTTCTCCTTACAAGACCACCCTGAATCAAACATCAAGGTGATGAGAATTAAAGAAAATGATCACCAACTAAAGAGTTTCTTGATTTTTCGACAAATTCTCCTCGTCAGTAGAAAAGGAAATATCTACAGAAGAGAATGAAGAATCTAGATGTTGTCAGTCAGTTGGGGTATAAAGTGTTAAGCAAATAAAATGATCAAAGCACACGTGGAGCCTCAACTCCGACACCAAGAATGAATCGCTGGCATTTGTCTTCTACATTTTGGGAGCAGTTAAAGCGAGACAAATTCATTTCCTCAAAACAGATAATTTATCTGACTGTTTCTGTTTGATCACAAAAATAAATAAAGATAATAGATAACTTATACTGGCAGATGATGACAAACCCACAAAGATTGTGTTGAACTGTTTTAATAAGAGCCCTTGATGAAATAAGCATCTTTAAAACTTACTTATGCAAGCCTGAACACCGTCTTCATTCTGCTTCTTCACCTTCCATTCTACCTCCAAAGGAAATCCTATTGGAGCCCACTCAAACGACACCTTGCTTCCTTTAGAAGCCTTTAAGTTAGCATTAACGACTCTCCAAGTTGTATTAAACAAATAAAGTGGACAATTCAATCATCAGGCGTTTTGTTATCGTTCTGGTTGACCACAAAGGGATATTTGTATTTTTGACGAGAAAAGGATGACACGTTGTTAAATAAATTTAATAGATGTCTCTTATTTTGTCTACAGAACAATAGGAAAAGTGCCTTGGGCCTCAAAGTTATACTGAGTACAATAGGCTGCTGAACTGTAGGAATATTTTGTGACCCACTGAAACCGCATTTTCAAAAGCAATCATGATTTACGTGCATACATCTGAAAAACCACCACTGACCAAATGTCGCGAGCTTCTCTTTGTTTTGTTTGGTCTCGTCTTAAAGACAAGAGCTTTAGTAAATTAAAAGAAAACAACATGATGATCCCATTACTTTCTCTCGATTTGTTTCAGCAGTCTCTGTACGTGATATGCTGGCCATTCAAACAATTATACAAATCTGTTCTTCACTTAAGTGCAAGTGAACTGAGAAAGTAAACAAGTTTTGAGACCATTTCCTATTTATTTTTCTTTTAGATATAGAAAGAAGGAAGGATCTCCCGCGTGTTTTTTTATGTTTCTGCAGGGACTGACGAATATTTTGTACTAGTTGGGGAAGAAACATAATTTCGCT